TCTTTATTTGTTTTTTATTAGGGGTTTTATAATAGCAGTGTGGGTCTTGGCCTCAAAATGTTTACTTTAGCCTTGTGACAAGTCAGGCAGAATAATAGCGAAGTGGCTGTGCTCTGTGCCTAGTTTTTCACACATTGGTTAGACACTACTACAAGGAGGCCCTGTAGTAGGTTCCTTTTCACTCTTCATTAAGAATTCTAGAGGCCATTTCAGCGGAGAGGTGATAATGTTTCTATGGACATTGCTGGCCTCTAATCACAGTATGTACTGAAAAATACAGGCAACAGTATGTTTTCAGTTTTCAGCATAAAAATATTTAGTTCCTGTTAAATGTGCATCTCAAATCAGTGAAATCAGATGAAATGTCCATTCTATGGCTATGTGAAAACATAATCCAAGGTTACAGTGATCCAACTCCCTGCCTCGCCCAGTCTACCGAAACACTGAACAAAAAGCTGCTTGTCCTTGAGGATAACTGCAGCTGAGAAGCCTGGGTTGCAATGCTGAGTTTAGAATGACACTGAGAAGCAAAACACCACCCTGATGTCTTATATGTACATATATAATATGTCTATGTCAAAAGACCATTAGAATCTAGGCTATATATATAATTATAAATACTGTAGGACTGTATTTCTATGGATGTGTGAGAATAAAAAAACTGATATTGTTGTGCAGCTCATACTGAAATTTATCTGTTGAATAATGGATTGACAAAAACATTAATTAGCAACTATTGTGATAATGTGTTGGTTGTTTCAGACATTTACCCAAGCAAAAAATTGTTTTCTGCTTCCTGCTTCTAAAATGTCAGAATTTAATGCCTTTCTTTGTCACATACGATAGTGAACCGAATAGCTTTGGATTTTGGGCAGATGGTCCGATAAAACAAGTAATTCGAACATTTCACTGCAGGCTCAATTATACTGAGCATTTTTTTTTTTGCATTTTTTGACATTTTATATGCCAAATAATCAATTTCTTAATTAAGAAAATAACAGGCAGATTAAGTGCACAAATTGAAACTTTTGTAAGATTATCATCAGTTGCAGTACTATAACTAGTTATGCTTTAAAAGATACAAGAAATGAAGACTTGGCTGAAAGCAGTATTTGAGCCTAATGACATCTTTTCTTTGAAGGAGGTTTTAAAGCAAAACTGCTTTTGTTTTGCAGCCTTCTCCCCTCTTTCCTGGAAATCACACATGCCATCACCATGGTTTTTAATTAGAAAAATAACAACAATAACAAATGTAGAGAAGAAAATCCTCACACAGGCATAATCGCAGAGGCTCTCAGTTGAAGTGTATGTGCATGATCTGCATCTGATGTGTCTGTGGGAGTTTGATGAGCAGATAGAGAGGCAGCTAGCATGCCGTCACAACATGTAAGATTACAGCTGAAGTGGCATGAATAGCTTGGGCGATGTTCACAGTATGAGTGATTGTGCGCTGTGTATTAATCAAGTCCTCATTGTTGGATGCTTCAAGGAGCACGAACATAGGATGGACGCCTCAGTGAAGTGCAGCTTGCGTGAAATTGTACTTCTCACATCACTGTCTTGGGTCAGTTGGAGAGCTGCCTGTTGAACATTATGGCACTTTGAAAAGAAAGGATTTAAGTTGTATTTAAAACTTGACAAAATAACCCCACTGAATGTTGCATCACTGATTTAATAATACCAGGAAAACTTGTAGCTAAATGCTTGGACTATCACCTTCATAGAGCTCCAGGAGGTTAAATATAAATATGGCAATAGAAGAGGCTTGTCTATTTTGGATGTCATGGCTGGCTACTGAAACATCTTTGAAGGCTGCTCTCAGTGGCAGGATCTTTGGTTTACACATGGTACAAGTCAGAGGTAGGTAAATATGTCTTGCTTGGACAAACACCCTGTGTCGCTGTGGCTGGGGCTGATAAAAAAGGGTGACTGAGATCCTAATCAAGATTTCTGCATCGGCAATTAAATTTGACAGTGGAGAAGCAGAGCTATTCCTCTGATATTATTCCTGGAAAAGAAAAAAAAAGCAGAAAGTGGTCCCGTTTTTCTTCATCTACAAAGTTTCAATTAACTGTGATAGCTCTATGTGTGCCCTTAGTTGTACACTGGGGAGAGAGAGAGAATGAATAGTGGCTCCTTTGAATTCTTGTAGCCTATATACAGCACTGCAGCAGTTTAAGTGACCCCCATGAAGTTTGTCCATTTTCTCCCAAAGCCACTCACACCTCGCCTGTTTTGTTCGATTCACCCCGATCCTACAGAGTTTGGTTTTGTCAAGCCTAGGTGTGCATAAAACTATTACACCAGAGAGGTTCATGCAAACTGGTCTGAATTGGTCTTTTTTTGCAACAGCTCAAATGCTCATATTCATGTAGAGTATTTACAGTATGTGCTCTCAGAGGAGATACGTCACTAAATGCAGTTAGATGCAGTATGATTTTGATTTTCTGAAGTCACTCACTGCAATAATGTTGATTTTTCTACTTGCAAAATGTGTTTGAAAAGAGGAGCGGTACTTTGCACTTAAAGAGTATATAGTGTATTTTATAATTTTACAAAGCCAATTGCACAAGAGCAAAAGTGTAGTGAATAGATTAGACAATGTGTTTATCTGTTTTAATATAAGCTGCAATCAATGTCTGATTGAGTAGCATTCTTTACTTAAGCCCAAGGAGCACATCACTACCTAAGTAGTTTACTTAGCCTGACTTACTAGGGTGACTTATTATTGATAAAAAGAAACAAGCAAAAAAAAAACAAAAGAGCCCATTTACTGACAAGCACATTCACTATGTAGTTTTTCCTCACTGTGTACGAGTTGGTGGTCGATGCTGTAGACTTTAGGGTGATATTAGCAGTTCTGTCCTGCTCTGTACTGGATTTACACAACTGCAATACCAGCCATTGTAACCCATGATAACCTTTCATTTGCAAACCATACTTGCTTCTAATTTCTCAATCCCAAATGCCTTTTTCTTAAAAGTTAAACTGTCAGTAAGGCTATAAAAACGGGTTCCCGGGGAAAGCCTGGATGAAAGCAGGCATGGCAATGAAAGGCCACTCAGATGGAAGAAGCAATGTTGGCCTATGGGGACCCCGTGCATCACTGTGGAGAAACACAAGTACATGGAGGAATTGATGGCAAAACTTGTATTCCCCTATCACACCCAGACCAATGGCAGAAGAATTAGTAAACCTCTGGGAAGAAGAAAATGAAGAAATTGAGGAGAATGAAGAATATTTAGTGGTGGACGAGTGGGTGGATGAACCGGACCCTGGGGAGGAATGGGAAAACAGCAAGAGGGAATTGAAAGGGGATAAAAAACAAAAAGGATGTTAAGATATAATAGCTAAAAGGATAAAGTAGGAAGCTGAAGTGATCAATAAATAAGGATGGTTATGGAAATGACTTGATTAATGAATAGTAATGACATTTCTGACAATGAAGCTAAGTATACGAGCGATTTTATTTCAAGAATGATTTTGATCCAATAATAATAAAATGTAATGCTGTTTTTGTGATAAGAATAAAATGGTAAAGTGAGCAAAAGTTAAGAAAGAAAAAAGTGGGGAAAAATTAGCTAGCTAGCTTTAGCTGATAAAATGAACAGTAAAATTTTATAGGACAAACATTGATGATTACTGGTTATAAGAACTAAAGAGGCCAGCTTTTGACCATGTCCATTTGAAATCAAGGCTTTATTGTTAAAAATTGAATTGTTATGTCCACAGCATTTATTAGCATACACGTCATATGTGTCATGCTAGAACGAAAACCTAGCATGACACATGATTGCATTACACTAAATGCTACAGAATCACAGCAGTACAGAGCTGTAGAGGATTATCTATGTTTATCCACACCTCCCTCTCTCATGTTGTCAGATCAAGACATGGAAAAGCCAGTGTTATTTTAAGTGACATCTAAACACACAATATCAATGCATGATATCTATATGCTAGCCACTATGACCCATGAGCTCAATAGCTAGTTGCTTTAAATTACATTTGGTGAGTTAAATTCATGTCTGCACCCTCAGCTGCCAGTAGAGAAAATATCGAAAATATAATGTAGGAAAAGAGAGGAACTTTTAGGTGCTTAGAACAGATTTTTGACTTGTATTTGGTCTATGTCAAGAAGGCAAGCAAATTAACAGTGAAACGTGAAAAGAGCTTGAATGTTTAAATTTACTGGGTTTTTAAATCCTGTAAACTGGATAAAAATACAATAATATTTTCCTGCCAGTGTCAGTGCCTTTGCCACTAATGAAATAAAAGGTGGGGCTAATTAAAAGTAATGAGCTGTGGTGGGTTCTCTGTCTACCACCAGTTTAAGGTGTAGCTCTATGTTTAGTGTGGAGGCAGTGTATGAAGTGTATTATTACATTTATAATTTTTGAAAATATTCTTTCAGTCACTTATAATGTTTTTGGTTTCTCAGTATTAACTTAATAACCTTTATGAAACACATGGGATTTTATATTGATGACAAACTAACTATATAATATATAATGGTACAACATTATATAAGGACAACAGAACACACTGTACAGCACAAAGGTACTCAGCAATCAGCAGTCACTGAGTTTATTCATTGCTTTTAGCAGCTGGAAAGGAAAAAATTACATATGTGAAAGAAAAAAATCACCTCAAGGTAACGCGAGTGCTCCAGTGTACTATCCGAGGTTAATTATAATACAGGGTAAAGACAAATATTAGGCATGCATATAAAGTATGAAATCGCATTTAAAGAAGCTTGCAGGTAAAAAGACATTTCTGCTTGATTTTCTCATGTTTTAAATTTCATCAGGCAGAGAGGCACCAGGCAGAAAATGATTGTTCCACCACGACAGAAGTATCAAATCATTTGTACTGAGTCAAAGATTGAACTATAAATTGAGCCTTTTTATGATTGTGACACTATTACAACTGGTGCCATATGGCCCCCATTGTTATTTGTGCTTGCATATTAAGGTGTGACCATTTATTTCTCTCTTCAGACATCTTTGAAGTGAACCCTGTGAGGAGCATCCAACGACACAATATTCTGGTGAGTTTCCAAATTGAAATTAAAACCCTCTTCACATTTACATAATATACCACTCATCCTCACCCAGACTGTGAACACAAGCAGGAAAGGATGGAGTAAGGAACCAGAGGGAAAGGCTTTGGTGATAATATGCTGGGGGAAAAAATGTCTCCTTCTTCTGACCACTCATCAATCACTCAGTTTTTATTCCACAGGGTCAGTGTGTTTGACTCACCATGCGTGCACTTTCTCAATGCATTAAACACCAAGGCAAAGTCGAGAGGTTTATCTGTCTTCTTTCCTTTTTCTCCCACATATATTAACTCAAATGGAGGTGCGGAGGAATGCAAAAACACAGCATCTCTTTTTTATCCTCTCTATTACATGCAGATTTAACCACATGTTCAGATGCAGAGAAAGAGGAAGGAGAGAGAGAGAGAGAGAGTCTGCAGAGTGACAGTGTTAAGCTATCCTCTCACATAGGCAGGGTTGGGCTGGCGCCATGGCTGTTTGCCTCATAGCCTGCACAATGGGAGTCGTCTCCATTATCAGAGCTGCCGCTTTGCCACCCTGCAGCAAACCCAGCATCCTCTGCTCCTGCAGATTTAATTTCTTATCTCAATAGAGAAAACAGCCCCTCTGATGAACAGCAGAAAACACCCTGGGCAGCTGTGAACAGGAATTGAGAATACATACAATAGATGGTTTGATAAACTTATGAACGTGCACAGCTCTGGCATCCCTCATAGGAATTTGTGTGGCTGGTCACAAATATTCAAGGGAATGTGCTTTATATTATAAATACTGATTCAGGCAAGGGAAGCTCTCGTTATCATTATATACAGACAGGTGACACACATAAAAATACAAGCCTGAGTAAATGAGTGGCCTCCTCCAGGATGACACTGCCCCCATCCATAGGACACGAGGGGTCACTGAATCGTTTGATGACAATGAAAATGAAGTGAATCATACACTGTGGCCTTCACAGTCCCCAGGTCTCAACCCAGTTAAACACCTGTAGGAAATTTTGGAACAATCTGTTAGATAGCTTCTCCACCACCATCATCAAAACACCGCATGACGGAGTATCTTTTGGAGGAACGATGTTCATCCCTCCAGTAGAGTTCAGAGACTTGGAGAGTCAGTGTCAAGGAGCACTGAAGCTGTTGTGGTGGCCCAGCACCTTACTGACACACTTTACGTTGTGGTTTCCTTTCATTTGTCACCAGTATTGGAGCAATAATTTACAGTATGGTGCTGCCATCAAGCACATACTAAAGCTTAAACAGGATCCCTGGTAAATTAATGTCTATAATTTGATGCTGCTATAATTCTAGGGCAAGCTGAGCTGTCTTTATCTTACTATTTGCAGATATAAAGCAGCTCTTCAACTGCTGTACTGTCACATGACACAAACTCAGCATGAACAGGTGCCACATGTGCTGCTTTCTGAGGGGAAAACATTATCACCTCTGAGGGTATGAAGCAGCTGGATATACTTAATTGACATGTTTTTAGAAATGACTTTGCATTTAAGAAAATAAAAAGGTTCCAAGCTTCATACAATGGTGTTACTTTAGATTATTTCCCTCATTGTTTTCTTATTTATGTTTGACAACCTCCTAAATTTCTCCCTTGGTCCTTTCGATAAGGCGTCAGAGTCTGTAATGGAACTAAAAGATTTTACTTGTTGTGGCTTTGGCCCTGTACTTGCAACTTCATCAATGTCGTGCAAAGCCACTACAGTGGTAATTGTGTGTCAACTTCCCTGAGACAAAGGTTATAGGATCACAAACAAAGTACATAACTTGAAATACCCTTGCTAAATTAGTTATATTGTTTTACAGTAATCACCTGTTATGGCTGTACTATCTCGCCTGTGGTCTAACGCCTCAGGACTAGTTTAAAACAAATATTAAACTTTTAAGATCTTTTTAGCCAGTGATGGACAACGTATTCATAAAATGGACATATGCATTTTGTCTCATTGATGTTATGATGTTTGAGCGTTAAACATTTCCAAAGTTCTAAAACTTGAGCTGAATGTATGTTACAGTTTTGTACAATCAGTTTGGCGACTAGTTTCAAAACCTTGATGTCATATTTCAAAACTCTAGACACAAAACTGCCCAGTGTGAACTCTTTGGTAAACCAAACTGCACATTCACATATTCTTCTCTTTTCTGCTTGTGTGGTAGTTAAGTAAATGTCTGCTGTTCTGCACATATGCACGCTTCTCTTAGAAATATGTGAACAAAGATGTAACACTTCAAATGTTTTAATGTAATGAACAAAATATTACCAGTGAAGATGGGGCAGGCGGAATATCTGGTTCTTAAGATTCTTTAAAGCAACTTAATTTAGGCGATTTTGATTAAATTCTTAGCCACACGTGCAATTTTAATGTGTGATGTTAAATTAAACACAAATTGATGATGTAGAATTGAACTTATTAATTATCCTCATCCTCTCTGAGAAGGAGATTCTGGTGTCTTTTGGTGGGGAACTGAGTGCAGGAAATGAGTTTGACATCTTATTACATGTGAGGTCTGGGTGACAATACTTTTCATTAGCTTTCCCTCTAAAAGCTGTTTTACATGTAGAGACTGCACAGAACAGAGTGATACAGATTCATTATCGAAGATAGTCTGGTTCATGCGTTTGTTGTAGTATGTTCTTGTTAGTGCAAATGTGTTGTATTTGTTTTAATGTGAAAAATAATTTTCAAACATCATGGCACTGATACCACTAAGACACAGAGATGTTTTCTCAGCATGGAGAGAAAAGTGTAAGAGACGGAAAAAGGTTGGTCCTCAGCGTTGCTCTGATAATCACGCTGACACGTGTTTTGATTGCATTTGTTCCTGCTCACATTAAAAATATGCCAAACAAATGCATTTGTTCTTTCCTTTTGACAGAATTAAAGTTGCCAGAGTTGTCAGTCACAACAAATCAGGTTTGCCTGTGTGGACCTAATGGCTGATGCTCTCAAATTGCCTGCCAACAGCCACAGTGTGAACACAATAAACATAAAGTTAAAATGTGCTCACTTTGAATATAACGCTGCAGCACAAATAAATAAATAAATATCATATCATTTAATTAGTACTGATACTTTGGGATGCTGTTAAAATGCTTATTTAACAGTTCTTCTTCTGCTAGGTTTGACACCTCAGGTTATGAAAACACCCAGGGTTTTCTATATAGAATAAAATCATTAACATAATGCTTAATGATAATTAACCAGCACTGAGCAAGGTATTTTATAAATGATTGATTATATCCAGCAGTACAGATGATGTGTTCATGTATGTTTGTGCGACATAGAGATTAGCATGAGTTTTATATTTATTACTCTTTATCAAACTGTGAGATTTCAGTCCCTGCAGAGTTTCATGTCCTAAATCAAATTATGCTTTTCACATTATCATGCAACAGAAAAAGCAAAACCAACTGACATGTGTCTAATATCTTTGTGCTCTTAGACCAAACATTTTCCACCACGAGAGCCCATTCAGCGTGCAGAAACTCTCAGCACAGCAAAATATAGATTTTTTTGGCTCATTTTGAAATTAGACTCTCTTCATGCAAATGAATGTTTTGATGTCCTTTGTTGGCATCTGCTGCTTTTCTCAGGGTGCTATAATTAAACAGGAGGAGGCCACAACCCTTCTTTATTCTGTGTCAGTTTGAGAAATGGTTGTTACAAAATGCACTGTGTCAAAGCAACACGAGCTGAACAACAGCTAGATTTCACACACAATGGAATCCATTTTTAGTAGTATGTGTATTTGAACAGTTGGGAATTAATCTTCATTACTGTAGTGGCATAGATATAAAATGCACCACAAAACAATTTGTGGAAATTTTGCTAAACAGCACTGCACCACGTTTTCTGGTCATCAGAGACAAGTATCACAAGAAGCTACCTGCAAATCAATTTCTATGAAGACACATCACTTATGGAACTGCTTTGATCCCTCTCTTCCAATAATGGCTCAAGTCGTGACTCCTCTAATTACAGATAAACACATTAGAAAATGAGGGTTAATGGTCAATGTTAAGATCCATTTAAAAGACTTAAGTTACCTTGAGCTTCTTTAAATTGTTTCCCAACACTGTGAGAGCAGCACTCCATCACAAGATAAATCATCTTTTTTGCAGAAAAAAAGGCCATATTTGTTATTTACTCCCCACATGTCAGTGCCCAGGTTCACACCCACAACATATCGCCTGATCTGACAGCATCCTCAGGATAACTCCCATGTATCATCATTAAAGATGGGCACTTTGTCAGAGTTTGCAGCCCAGTGAAAAGGTACAAAGTGAACAGAAAATTGATCTCTTTGATGAACAATAGATTATGATGGAGAGGTGAGCAAACATGTCTCTCATTCACTGGACACGTGCACTGCAGCAAGACTTACCATCTCACATGGCAGCAAATTGCTGTCTGATCCCTCAGACAAGCTACAAATGTAATGTAATCCTCTTGGATCCTTGTTAAAAATGACAGTGAAATGTGCATATCTCCTCTATTATAAATTCAAAAAGACCTGCAATTCTATACATTTTCAATTTATTATTATATTAAATGTAAATCGACTCTTTTTAGTATTATCTACAATATACAGGCATTCCAAAAACCTTCCTCTCTCAGCCCTTTGTGTGTAAGGATCAGCAGCCTCTTTCAGCCTGACTCTTATTGTTGTGATGTGACATGTGAAAGTCTGACGTCAAAATTCCCATTGAGTTCTCTGACTGGAGCACTCACCCAAGCTGATTCTGCTTCAGCTGCACTCTGTGTTTTCTCAGTCTAAGTTGGTCGACCTCTGAGGGAGGTGTCTCCAAATTTAGAAACCATTTTGACAACATGTTAGCATTCAAGTGCAGCAACATGCAGTAGCTCACAGGGCCGCACTGTAATTTACCTGTGCATATTGCAACAAAGAGACTGAATATGTAACAATGAACGTTAATATATATACTGTATATTGTGTAATTTTAATCACAATTGG